GACTGTATTACGAATCTACATTAATTTCCCTTCAATTTAAGGAACTACATAACGAAATTTGAAGATAATAATTTTTCACTTCGTTTTTGTTACGTCTATTTTGTCAGCCATATTGAATTTTTGCGTTGATTAAAAAACAATTTTCACTAATTATAAAACCATTTTGCGCTAATTATATAACATTTCTCAGGTAACTCCTTAAGCTACCTACACTTAATAGAAAAACACTAGTTATACCCACTTCGTACCTCCATGACTCATTATATCATGCACACACACACACACACATCTGGGGCAAGAATGATAGGAATGATAAGAAGGATAAAAGGAAATGATAGGTGATTTTACACGTTGAGAATGCTGCGCCCTGATTGGTACTAATATTGGTGACGTCATCAGTACTCTAGCGCAGATTGGTTGAAGTTTTTAACGCGTGGAAAAAAAAAATAGCCAATGCCAAGCAATTTCTGATATAACTAATGTAAGTAATTTTTTTATTTATGCAATAGGGGTATAAAACAATTCTCGATATAGCCAAAATAAACCAATTTTCGATATAGCCAATATAAACCAATTCTTGATATAGCCAAAATAATTCTCGATATAGCCAAAATAATTATCGATATAGCCAAAATAAAACAACCAAACCTAGCCTAAGTTCGTTACTTTTCCTGAACAAACTGATGAGCCAATTAGTGCTCAAGATCGTTAGTACTGTATCATACGCCTGGCACCATCACCAGTTACCGTGACTGTTGGCGCCAAGTCCTCGCCACAGATGTCGTACTGCATGACATCACCCGGAACAAGACGATAGGAACTGAACTTTAGATCCGCATTACAAACTGTTTAGGTCTTGATTTCTGCTGTTTTTCGCTGTTCAGGTCTTGATTTAAGATGTTCTTAGCTGTTCAGGTCTTGATTTACGCTGTTTTTAACGGTTTAGGCCTTGATTTACGCTGTTCTTAGCTGTCTTTGAGGCTTTTTTACTCCCACTGAAGATGACGTAACAGGTACAGGAAATGCGTCACTTGGTAAAAAAATAAAAATAAAAAATATTAATACTGTAAAATAATAAAAAAAATTAATATTTTTATCCCTAGAATTAAATTTTGAGGAGAATTTCTCCAAATTTGTAGTTTTTTGGGGGTTAGGGATTATGGGAATACACAAGATTAGCCCCCAGTGATTATTATTTAACCTGGATTAAACGCTACCTAGAGGTTAGATTAAGTTAGAGTTAAGGAGGTTAATCTTAAGGTGAAATAAGCAGAGGTTGGGTATTCTTCAGGGTTAGGTTAGGTTAGGTTAGGTCACTTTCGGCTCTAACAACACGCGTCACTTCCTCTTCGTCACCAAAGTCGTGGTAAACAAAATATCCATTACTGTACTCTGATAGTTAGGTTAGGTTAGGTTAGGTTAGGTTACTGTTAGGATAGTTAATCACCAGGTAATATAATTTGGGGGTAGAAACTTCAGGTAATCTCATTAACCTGACCATCTATACTTATCACTGAGGTGTTTGTGGCGATAAAGGTTGAGTAATGTGTATCCGGATACCTGGTGACTAATACGTATTACTCTTATCAGTATCGTATCGTGTTTTTGTCTCTCTATCTCTCTCTCACTCTCCCTGTATATCTGTCTCTCTGTCTCTCTCTCACTTTCTCTGTATCTCTCTCTTTCTATCTCTCTCTCACTCTCCCTGTATCTCTGTCTCTCTCTCTCTCTCACTCTCCCTGTATATCTGTCTCTCTATCTCTCTCTCACTCTCTGTATATCTGTCTCTCTATCTCTCTCTCACTCTCTCTGTATATCTGTCTCTATCTCTCTCTCACTCTCCCTGTATCTCTCTCTCTCTATCTCTCTCTCACTCTCTCTGTATATCTGTCTCTCTATCTCTCTCTCACTCTCTCTGTATCTCTGTCTCTCTATCTCTCTCACTTTATTTCCCATTTTCATTCCCTTTCTCATAACACTTAATGGAAATATTACCATATGATTTTAAGGGTTACACAATCGTCTCATTATCAGGTGTTCAAATTGTATGGTTGTGATGTACCGCATTTGGTTACCTGTTGATTAGCTCTCCTAGTCTATTTCACCTTAAGATTAATCACCGTAAGAGTAACCTAATCTAACCTAACCTAACCTAACCTAACCTAACCTAACCTAACCTAACCTAATCTAACCTAATCTAATCTAACCTAACTTAACCTATAATTCCCATAGGTAATATTAGAGTATTAATTGCTATGTAAATTATGCTGAGGGGCTTTTCTTCAGGTGACATACATATATACATACATACATACATACATACATACATACATACATACATACATACATACACTGAACATAAGACCATATAACCAATAATTACCTTCTCGTCCATGAAATAAAATCCCCCACTTAACTAATTACATTTACTTAATCTGACAGTCAATCTTTTTATAATATGTTGTAAATAATTATAAATATCATCTACATTATGAGAGATACAGTGTAATGGGTACCATGTTAAGATTGGTACCCTGTTGTCTAGATATACAGTATAGGCAACAGGTATTTCAAGCGGATTACGATATCTAATCTAACCTTAAAATTCGCTGGATGACCGAAACGTTAACTATACTGTACGCTATTTTAAGACAATAAATAACTCTAGCACGGTGTTTATTCTATATTTTCTCTATTATACTATAGCTGGATTTTGTCTATATTAGGCCATTAGACAACCAACATACTAGACAGTTTTATCACAAATTCACAATAACAGTTTACCGCTACGAATTGAGTCTCGTAATACAATGGAAAGGTGAACGTTGACAAAAATAAAGTCATAACCTTCTACTCATTGTTATTCAAATGGTTTATAAATAACTGAGAACCATTTTATATCCAGATTATGTTTCATATCCTTGTAATAAGTATATCACAGCTACCACAGAAAATTGGTGAAATTATATCTGAAAAAAAAATGGATCACTATTTAAGGGAAACGGTGGTAAATTTGTTCACGAGTATATTTTAATAAGCTATAATTTTCACCATTTATTTTATACTGTGTTGGTATAGGGGGTTAGAAGGCTAATATCCCGGTAAATGAAGCTAAATAATATGTTGGTGTCGGGTTACAAGCCTAAATCGTACGCCAGAGTTTACTGAATCATTACCCAAGATGAGTACTATGATCAGGTTAAGTCAGGTTAGGTTAACTTAGGTTAGATTTTTTTAATTATGTTTTTAATTCTATATTTTCCCTGTGTTTCGAAGATTGACAGGGTAGGAAAGGTCATAACTCAATAATTACCGGCAAGCATTCCCCCAGACATTCATTATCATAGCTGTATTTACCATGAAAAACTGCACCGGAGTAACAGAGAAAACCTACGATGATTAGAATGGTTACAGACAAGTTAACATACTTCTCAAATATTTCCCAGGGATCTGTCTCGCGAGCAGAGGTAAGATTCTGCCAAGTCAACCAACCGCTACTGAAAATACATTTGAAATTAAAAGTAATGTGTTTTTCTTACGATGATTTATGTTCCTGTTATTTTAACCTATCACAAACCTAACACACGTGTAAACCAGAGTTAACACACAAACCAAACAAAGTGTAGACCATCAAACCAGAAATAAGTGGTTTAAGTGTATACAAGACACAAATTCACTGAGATAGGCTTCTGATTATGTTGTACAGTACATAATTTTTTGGCAATTATCAACGAATACACTGAAAGCCTATAGCAGCAACCTTCACACACACACCCTACAGTCATCTTATACTTAACGACTGCAGCACACGTAGAATAATACTTTAATGTTCTTGGGAAAATATTAAAAAAAGATCAAATATAGTTTGATTTCTCGCGTATTTTTTCAATAAGTGAACCAAATAGTTACCATATATCTTAATGTTTATTTATATTTGTGTTACTCTTTCGCCGCCGCTAGAGGGCAACACCGCTAGAGGGCAACACTTCCTCAGAGATTTAGATTACATTCAACCGTTTTTTTTTGTAGGGAAAGGAGGAATGAAGGAAGATTAGAGGTGGGGGAAGGAAGTTATAGTTCGGAAATTGAAGAAATTCAGGAGGAGGTAAGAGAGGGCGGGCTGACGCCTAGCTAAGCTAATAGTGTGTTAGGGTTGTGTCATGGGTTAGTTATTGTCTGCCGGTACAGGCACTAGACAGCCTACCCTATCCCATTTATGGGTGTTTTAAGGGCCTTATTTCATATTCCGCCGACCCTGCTGGTGGATGCTGGTCTAGGGAGGTTGTCTATTGCCTGGCCGTGTAGATCAGGGGTGGTAATGGACCTTTTGAGATTTCGTAGCTTTTTGGGAACCATGTATGGTTGTTGTCGTTATCTGGAGGGAGTCTTTGAAGGAGTTCTTGCTCTGATCGTTCTATCTTTTGCCAGATTCTGCTGGCCAGGGTGTGCAGCTGCTGGTTGATGGGTTTCATTCTCAGGTCTCTATGTATCTCGGCTGTGGTTCTGGTAAAGGGGTATCTTTCACCTGTGACGAATCTTAGGGCTTCATTTTGGACCACCTGTAATTTTAATATTTGAGTGGTGCTCTTAAGAGGTATTGCTGGGTAAGTTTGATGCTGATCGTCAGGTCTATTATTAGTTTTTGGATTTATTTTACTCTTTATATTGATTGAGAGATATGATATGGCTTCATCTTTCGAGCCTTCTATAACCTAGGGCGTCCGGTTAGTAAATACTACATATACATAATAACGGTACAATATAGTGTAACGTTTTTAAGTATACGGTTAATAAATAATACAATAGGGTACACATTAGTTGCATTTAGTGGTTAGTAAATACTGTATATACATATTATGATTTACGTAGAGTTATAAACTAGACACTGTAACTACACAAACAGAAGCAAATCCGTGAAATTGATCCATTTTATCAGTTTAGAAAGTCAACACTGATAACGGGCATTCGGGCACCGTGTTAACCCATGAGTCAGCTACCAGCCACTGTCTCCATCAGTTGTTCATTGTCTTCGTCCTTAAATTGTCGAAATGTAACCATCTCAGTTTATTATTAACATCTAGAATAGGATTTGGTATATTACGTGTGAAGCTCGGGTGTGGATGACGTCAGGTGTTGGGATCATCGAAAACAGAAGAAACTCGACTTGGACGGTGCAAGTTCGGCGTAAGGAACGGTAGAGGAGTATTTTCATCTGCAAGGAAAATAGTATAAGTGATCTTAGTTATTTACAACATGTACATAGAAAAACTAAGGTGACTAATCATCTACATCACTTGTGCTTCACCTACGTCACCTGTGCTTCATCTACAGGTAGCCATCATGAAGGTGTGGCTGATGGTGGTGGTGGTGTTGCAGTTTGTTCTCATCTACGTCAATGCCGGGAACATAATATTCAGAACCCAACTTGAAGACACCGGTACGTAATCTCTCCCTTAGTTGCCCATGTTATAATGTATTACTGCACCGCAACAACGAAGATTTTTGAAGAGGATTTCTAGATTCGTAAATACGCTAATCCTCAATATCTCAGGTTTACGTATGTTGACTAAACACTAGATAAATTACTCCTATTTTTGCTAATGTGATAAATGAGAACTATTTAAACATTAAAATTTGATAAGTGGCTAACAGTGTCCCCTCCCGTCAGTCTTAATAAGTAAGTTCTTCTCTTTCAGAACCATCACCGCTTATCCTGAAACTGCAGGAAATTAGACAGGTGTCGAGAGAGTCCTCCTCCCCCAGTGCCAGGAGTGTAACAATTCACCTGGCAGACCACAAACACATCCCTAACATCGCTCTGTGGACGTTCACATTAATTACTGGCAGTCAACCAGTAAGTAAACTTCAGGCTGACAACTCCTCACAAACACAATTACAGTTCGAGGGGTCACTAGTGAATGCAGACGCTGTCTTACTCAAGGCACTTGATGATACAGGGAATGAGCTCGCGCTGATCTACAAACAGCTGCAAGTCAGAGGTAAGAGCTACAAAACCTAAGCGTATTTCATTGACTTAGAATCATTCCTAAGATATATCACAATCAAACCCAGACTTAATCACAATTCAATTTTGGTTCGGTAGGGTGATGGTGAACACTGTTGATATGATTTACATTCCACCAGAGACAATACAAGTTCATAGGTTCATTAATACACCCATTAATGAGGAGAATTTAGGAAAGAGTATTTTAATTTCAGTAACAAGTGAGGTTCATCAGTAGACACCACTGGAGTATGGGGTATCAGGATATGATTTATCGAACAGGAACCAACTCACGACTGGCCTGGGTAGGAGACAACAACTCGCTGAGGGTGGACACGGGTCTCCTGCAGGAGGTGGCGGCGGGGAAGGAGGTGTGCCGGAAGAGGGAAAGTCCTTGTTACTACATTAATGATGACACACTGCCCGACCACATTCCACGCTGTCAAGACGTCACCACACACGACGGTGACAAAATAAAGGTGTGCGACGACACCATCACCAGACTCCAAGGTGAGCACTACCTGAGGGGGGGGGGGGGGATACTACCTGCTGTAGCACCTGCCTGGGGGATATTACCTGCTGTAGCACCTGCCTGAAGGACTACCTACCTGCTATATCACGCTTCACGGAAATATTCTTCTCTTCAGTTCACAGTTTCCTGTAAATTATTACGACTCATAATTACCTTCCATAACATCACAAAACTAAACGAATTACTGAGAGTAGTTGAGTATGAAAATTCTTAATTTTTCTTATAATTTGCACCTGTTGTCTCTCCCCCATTAGAAATCCGTGAGCCAGTTCACCTGGAGCGGTCAGGAAACAACCTGACGGTACACGTGACCTTCTCCACGACGCCCACCAAGGTGGAGGTGTTGGTGTTCGACGTCAATAACCCGACAAATGTGTTGTCTCCTGAGGACTACCAGTGCCAGGCAATGAATGAGCCCCGCCAGGTTCACTGTATGCAGCAGCTGGTGGCCGCTGACCACATCCAGACACTGATGGTCCTCGTGGTCGGCCTCGACGACAACGGCTACGTCCTCGAGTCCTCCTTCAACATTTATGGTGGTGAGAAACTTTTAAGTACTATCATGATGGTGAGGAACCTTATTACAGTATTATGAGGAAGACCAACCTTATATGGTGCTTGTGTTACACCAACTGATTGTTCTAATTTGAGAACGTTTTAGTGCACCGCCTACTGCTTCATAAGACATGTTGGTCACTGTCACTGGTAACCCACAACCCTACAGCCAACTGACTAAGTTTGAGTAACTACCGGCTAGGGAATGCCACATGTCGAACCAATAAAACCTAACATTACCTAAACAAACTAATCGAAGGAACTAATCCAGAGAATAACTCTCCTGCCTTCTGTTAAAGACACCGGCTCCAGAATTTACTAAATGGGCACCGGGAAACAGACTGCCAGGGAAATGATTCTCTGGCGTCAGCAAAATAACGTTAACATTTTATTATACAAGCAATGAGCTGAGTCGCGTGCAAGTGTGATGAAGAGAAGCCTATGCGGTAACACCTCAAGGATTCGAGTCCTGTAATTTGAGTAACGAAATGGAGAATCTTCTGAATTTCGGATTATTATTGTTTTATGTTAGGTGTTCTCTGCTAAATTAATTTACAGTTTTGTTGATCGCCATGTTGCCAATTTTATGTAGTCCTGAACTTCAACGCCTAAAGGGTTTCAAGCAAGCACACTAAGTTAGTTCATAACTTTAAACAACTATAAAAAATGGAGTATTTTTTTCCCGTAGTTATCGCGATGATATTCAGGCGACAGCTGAAGTTACCCCACCTAATATATTTCCTGACCCATACTTACTTCTCTCACGCTTCCCCAAGACACCACTATTCCTTAGGGTCCTTATTCGCCCTTCTCTATCCCCCCAGGTACTCCCCTCCCCGCCTCGACCCCACCTCCGGAAGAGAGCACACACATGATGTGGGTGATCGCGGGTTCGGTGACAGCGCTGTGTGCAGTTGTAGGCGTCGGTCTTATCATCGGCCTCGGTATTTACCTTGTGTAAGTTGATTTATTACTTATTCATGATAAACACGCCGTCAAAATGAAGATATTATCTTCATTTTGACGGCGCGACAAATCCTACACCCTATGTCAGAGTCCCTTGCTAGACATATTTACTATAATCTGATGATTACAGTCAAACTGACGCAAGTGTTTATTTCTAGAGACGAGCTGTTAAGGTCACTTGAACCGTCAAAAATTAAAGCATCTGCCATGTTGTCTTATAACAGTATGTACTGTACTATATATCTCACTGGACAATCTAACTTTTTATTCCCAGTTATATTTCGTCTGATAACGAGAAGAGAACATGCGGTACTAAAGTACAAATTCAATTCAATCTATACAGGAGGAAGAATCGTATGAGACGGAAGGATATTTACTCAACGCCACAGAAGTTTTTAAAGGGGTATAAGAAAACGGCCACCAGGGAGCAGTAGACTGGGTGTGTCGCTACTATACCAGCACTGTCAGCACAGTATGTTACCTTGTATTAACTGTTTCCTCAACACTAATATATATATATTAAACACTGAGACCTGTAAAGTTTACCTATAATCAAGATTGGTGTTGTCTGTATGTAGTTGTGTTTCAACAATTAAGGTCTTAAATCACTTAAGCTACTTAAAGTACATAAATGCACAAGACAAATTATTAAAAAATACGTTAAGTAATTTTTCCTATCACCAAGATAATGTTGACGTTATAAAGCACAGTGTACTAGGTGCTGACAACTATGGTCTTTAGGAGAGCTTACTAGGTTAGCACAGTACAGTACACACACAAATCAAGAACTAACCTACAGTATATTATGCCATGTCTAATTTTATCGTTCCATTCAAAATGTATTACTAAGACACCATTCGTACTTCTTTCTGTTCGATAGCATTTATTTTTTATGGAGATATATTTTATAGGACGTGTCAAGATGGCAACCTACTGCCCGAGACAAAACATGATATTATTTTATTTCAGTGCAATCATAATTAACGTCAATCTGGCTACCAACTTTGCATCAAGGCTGAGATGGGCCAGTTGGATGAGCTTTTACCGTAAATTTCCCCTAAGGGTAAGTGACAGCTAAATAAATACCTGTTGAATCACACGATGGTATGAGCGATGTAGTGAATCAATTTATCCAAAACCACAAGTTATCTCCATCCAGGTTGTATGAACACAGCTGATTTTTCCCAGATCTCATGTCACATTTGGTCATCCTGCAGGTGATGTGGACAGTTGGTTTTCCTTGACTCTTAAACAACAATTTTTAGTAATTTATCCCGACAAAACTCTCTCACACACTCATCAACAAACATTAGTCCTTCCCAAAACTTCCCTCTGTACGTACACCTTCAGTACACACAAATGTCTCAAAGAAATTGAGTCGTATTCGTCGACTGAGTGAGGCGTCTAGTATGTAAACAAGGGGTAGTTGTTTACCAGACTTTCTATTTCATGATGAAAGAATACAAAATATGTTGCTTTCTCTTTTCAAACACAAATCCGAAGGAAAAAATGCATTTGTGGTTTTATTTTTCTCGAAGGATAATTCCGAAAAGTAAAAAAAGAAAACGAGAAGAAAATTATATATGCAGTACTGTATTTATTTTCCATTTCTCATAATTTTGAATAATAATCAAGTAATGTTGTAGAATAACATTATAGATAGTTCAAGCAACTAATTTGTCATTAACTTACTAGTGCAATACATTACTAAGATGTTTTATTTGTTGTTCAATGTAGAATAATTGTAAAGTGTAATTACCGTTGAATAACCGAATCTTCATGATTATAAATTAAACCTGTATTCACAAAACTGGATCCATACAATAAACTAATAAGATGAGGAATATGGCTGAAATCCAACTTGTTTCTTTTTTCACTACGTACAAACACGCACACTAAAAACAACAGTTAAAGGGAAGAAAATTAAACGCTTGCATTTGTTTTATTTATAATACAATCCGAAACTTGCTGTCCATTTAACAGCAGGAGAGACGATGTACTTTTTGTCAAAATTTCCTCGATGTAAGTTAAATTAATATCAAGTTAATTATTACCCATTACATCACTAATTATTACAATATAGATATTTCTCTTGACATTCAGCCGAACTCTGAAATTGGACATCTCGTCGATGGGTGTAACCAAAATACATTTCTGGAATCAACAAGAAATGTCCATACCATGAAGATTACTTTACGAGCAATAGGCGACGTAGACAAAGATGTGAGTCAATACCTGGATGTTGTTGATGTTATACTGTATTACTGTAAATACACTAGTCATCAACAATTAGAAATATATAGATACACCTTAATGTTGGACAGTTTCTACAGATAGAGCCCATGAGGGGGGAGACAGAAGAGGGGCATTTGGACTATAGGATATGCCCAACTCGCATTGTACCTTTGGTAGATTTTAGCATGTTGGATGCAGTTTCCTATTCATCCCGGATTTTGTTGTCCCAAACTTATTTAAAACTCCAACGTGGATCTCTGTGGGGTTTTTACTTGTATGTTTTTGCACATAGCAGTAGTAGGTAGTAGGCAGTTACCAAATAGGGAGGTACTACCGCCTGGGAAGATATTGGAAGCATAATGTGTTGTCTAATGGTAGACCCTGCTGCCATATGTGACCAAGTCCCAGTGTGCTGATCTGACTTTCTGCCTCAATTACACACAATTGCAGGGTCTCAATAATTGTTTCTCTTACTATTGACAACACAACATACATACAGCATATTGTTTCTCACCTTTGATTTTTTTTCTCATCTTTGTATTTCTTTATTATTATTATTATTATTATTATTATTATTATTATTATTATTATTATTATTATTATTATTATTATTATTATTGTTATTATTATTACATTGTTGTTGTTATTATTATAATCATCATTAATTTTATTATTTTATTTTCAGTTTTGTATTTTTTATTATAAATTTTATTTACTATGTATTATTATTATTATTACATTTTCGCCCCCCAGGCCCCGATGTGGGTCAGTGACATGTGCCTGGGTGGGCTAATTCCTGTAAAAAAAAATATATATATAGTTTTTTAAAACTGGTTCCTTGTACAACACGGCACTGGTCATGTGTCTCGGCTCCTAATGCCGTCTGGCTATTTAATAGTTTTAATTTTTTTCAGAGTATGATATGTAGGCTATGAAAAGATAAAAAATGATTATACCAATATAAAAACATGAATAAAATAATATTCAACACATCACCATTACATTTTTATTAAGAAAATCTAATTTATATTTTACATGGACAATTAACTAATTACACACATATTATTACTAATGTTTGTGTCCTCACTAATCACTGACATAGCACTGAGAAACTTTTATTAAGGACAAAGTTCACCAAATATTTGTAATTCTCTTGATTGGTTACAAATATGTCATTTTGGTAATGGTTTTAGAGGCGACACCAATTGTTATAGTTACTTACAGTATTTATTGAAACAGAAAGTGTGCTAAAACTGAAGGAAAAATTTATTGAGATTCCAGATAAGAAAAAGTCATCTAATGTTTAAGAAAAAAAGAAAAAAAAGTAATATATTTAATATTTATATCTATGCATTTTCTACCAATGCCTCCAAGCGTGTACTGTTCTTTAACTAGGCTTTTACACTAGACAACAACTATCGTATCGTGCTTGACCTAAGGTTAGGTTAGGTCAATCTTAGGTTAAGCGCACACTCTATGTTAGTACAGTACATACACTAGTTATTAAATGGCTGATCTTATAATACATTACCCACAGTGAACTCTTACAGATTAATATACTGTAGTTCAGATGTTGTTACCATGTACAGTATTTCTGTGCTACAACAAATAATGAAATCTTTAAGCGAGTATTCTAAAAGAATAAATACACTCGGGTCTAAATTCACTTTCATACAACTGAATACTTAACAGTAACAAGTCACTATCATAAAGATAAAAGCTTCTCTTGGGGGAATACTATTGTTATTAATTTTTAACAGATATGATTTAATTTTGGAAAACCGTTGACGCAAACTGTGTCATTCATCTTGACATAAGTACTAACTTGTTCGGTGAAAGCATAAAAATTATTTTACATTTGCAGTATAATATATATAATGTGTTGCGGTAATGTTAGACAGACCACCACTACCTGTAGCTGTGTCAAGCTGTACTACATTAGTGATGATAACAGTCAGTAGGCTACACAGACCGTGGTGGGGTAATATCGCTGCGAGAAATGTGAGTCTGTTCAGCTGTTTATATTTCCTGCTGCTGCTGTTCCTTGGGCGAGCGTTTCTTCTGTTTATTTTTTGTAGGTCTAGGACGCCCTCTGTTTGCTAAGACCGATTTCCTCCTGAATGATCACCTGTAGTATCAGATAAAGAACCTTAGATAATAACACTAGACCGTCGCGATTATTTTGGTGACATTTCTATAAAGACGTGTAATGGTCAATCATCATATTTTGTTTAACATAAATGATAAATTATTGGTTTGTTCATTTGTTCATGTTAAAGTATTTTGTTAGAGAACATACTTGACGGTGTATCGGTCTAGGCTTCTTCTCGAGACGGCGGCTCTTGTGTGGCAGTTCGCTCGTACTCTCCTGCCACCCGTGTCGCTGAACTGCCCCCCTTCTTCTTCTTCTTCTTCATGCTGTATAAATCCAAATAAATTCATGGATCATAAAGCAGAAACAATATAAATCTTTAACACTGACAGATTACAACCATTTGTGTACTGCAATGCATTGTGGGGGAAAGTCGGAAAGTCAGGCGTTGTTTAGGTGGAGGTATGGAATTGTTTTGTTTGAGTGATGTTACAGAGGCGATTGTAAAGTGTATGTGATCGAAGACAACGAAACTGATGACCTAAGACGATGCCTATGTGTAGAGATTTTCAGCAGGGAAATCTCAGTTGAACGTTCGTTGATGAGAAGGTAAGTCACCACAAACGTAAACCTCACTCAGCGATCAAAATGTCAATACAGCCATGACAGCTACCAGTGAACTGTTTTACTTTACCTTCAGGCTATAGCCACTATAAAGTATAGTTTTATTGGTATTATTTTATTTTCGGTCATCCTGGGAATTTAGATAAGGTTAAATATATATTTCCTGGGTTATGTGGCTAGGTTAGGTTAGTTTAGGTAGGCCTGGATATCTAAATACAGGGATGACCGAAACTATAATTTTACCGTTTTATTGTTATTGGAGAATCCATTTAATCATTTGCCTATATTTGACATGTGTTATTTTTTGTGGTCACACCAAGGTGTTTTCTATTGTATTTTTGTCTTATTCCAAGTAAAAAAAAAACATGACGGTTATGAGACGGGGTTAATGACTGTCCCAACATGGTTCTCTCAGGCAAAGGGACAGAATAGAGAATAACAGGAAGAGATACGTTGTAGATGTTAATGAACTTGACTATTAAAGAATGAGCTTTAAACTTACACAGTACAGACAATGAAGGCAATGATAGCGACGCCACACAGCACTCCGAAGACACTTCCCACGATGAGCCCAGTCTTGTCCTCGGAAGGGGTGTCTAGGGAGGAAAGAAGAGTTAAATAAGGGACTAGGGAGGAAAGAAGAGTTATATAAGGGGCTGAGGAGGAAAGAAGAGTTAAATAAGGGACTGGGGAGGAAAGAAGAGTTATATAAGGGGCTGAGGAGGAAAGAAGAGTTAAATAAGGGACTGGGGAGGTAGTGCACGGGGTATCAGAAGACATAAGAGATAATTGTTGATGAGAACTGAGTTGTTGTCAATAAACCTTCATATTCAAGACCTATAACATTACAAGACTTGGTTTCGTCGGACTTTACAGCCTCATCTGCACCACGCACCAAAAATTAATATGAACTCACGCTTGATTCGTTCACATGAGACTTAAGAGGTGACAGACATAAATCTTTATGATTATATTTGTCACAGCTGTCTCTACACCATTAATAACAAAGTTTCTCACCACCATAAATGGCGAAGGAGGACTCGAGGACGTAGCCGTTGTCGTCGAGGCCGACCACGAGGACCATCAGTGTCTGGATGTGGTCAGCGGCCACCAGCTGCTGCATACAGTGAACCTGGCGGGGCTCATTCATTGCCTGGCACTGGTAGTTCTCAGGAGACAACACATTTGTCGGGTTATTGACGTCGAACACCAACACCTCCACCTTGGTGGGCGTCGTGGAGAAGGTCACGTGTACCGTCAGGTTGTTTCCTGACCGCTCCAGGTGAACTGGCTCACGGATTTCTAATGGGGGAGAGACAACAGGTGCAAATTATAAGAAAATACTTTGGAATACGGTTTGTTTCACGATATGTTTAAACAAGCTTTTATATTATAGAATATAGTTATGCCCTTCAGAGTGGCAATAAAGGTTCCCGAGAAGGCTTCAGGTGGGGTGGGTAGGGAGTTCATAATACAGTGTTGAAATAGAAAATTCTTCCTAAGGCGAGCTGCCTAAAGATTTGCACAGCTGGTAGGTGCCTAAGTGGTCCTCCAGGTCAGCGCTCACCCTTGAACTTGGTGATGGTTTCGTCGCACACCTTTATGGGGTTACTCTCATCGGTGGAGGCATAACAACGGGGAATGTCCTCTGGCAGTGGAACGCCAATGAAGTAACAAGGACTATGCTCCTTCCTGCACACCTTTATCCCTGCCTCCACCTCCTCTAGGTCACCCGTGTCCACTCGTAAAGAAGCACCTCCAGTATGGTAGGCATCCCCTACCCAGGCCAGCCGTGATGTCATAGCTGGCAGTGATAAAATTAAATAATATTAGATGCGTAAATTGGAAGAAAAATTATGTTTCCTGGATATTACAGTGGTTAGATTTTTTTGTTTTAATCCTAGACAAACTTATAGCATTAATTTGGTGCATGGGTACAATTGTCATTCAAAATTCGCTTGGTATAAGTCGAAAAATAATGAAAACCTAAATTTCTTCTCTTACTTATATTCATAATCCCGTAGTAGACAGCCACTGTGTTATTAGATTTGTCATTTCCAAGTACGAATACATTCTTCAAAACATTTATATCTCCATAAAACTCCAGTTCAGTTTGTGAGTCACCAGCCTCTTGAGTGTAGACTTTGCGTTCGTTGCCAATGATTATTAGTGTCCAAGACCTAAGGTTTGGGATAGGGTCGTGGTCTGCGAGGCTGACTTTGATGCTGTGGTTTCTGTCATCAGTGGAGGACTCCTGCATCACCTCCCTGATCTCCAGCACCTTAAGGTTAATAAGATCTCCAGTCCGGTCTGTAATTTGAGACATAAATATTTAAACAGACATACGGGTAGATATTCACTAAAATCGTCATACAAGTTCACATTGATTCAGCATGTGTACCAAGACAATGCAGGTTACAAACAATGTACCCTGACAGTGCAAATACATAATGGTAAACAGTAAGTCGATTCACTAAGCATAGCCTACACCATACAAAGCCATCGTAAGCTTATTTCCATTTGGCAGTATCAATTATTACTACGATTGGCGGAAAACTCTTCAGGGCGATATGAGTCGAGTGTACCATTATTTTATTGTCTTCACTTTCAAGTTAATTCATAATGCAGCAAGATGTTTCATTGTGATATATTAACAATTTCTGATTATTTTTCTAAGGATGTGAATATTTTTATTTTAACCTTAAATATCATCAAATATACTGTACTATGCCATGTGCTGGTGTGTAAATAACAGACGTATAAGAAACATCACACGAACTATGAAAATATCATTTGTACTAACTTCCCAAAATAACCTGTATTAATTTAATATTACCTGATCTAAGTGAACTAAAATGTAGCTATGTTTAGATAGCAAATGGTTCGTAAATGAAACACTCAGTTGTAACATATAAAATCATTAAATTCAATGGAGTTTTGCCAGTAAGAAAGTGATACATATTTCGTAAGAGGGCGTTAATTGGACGATTATCCTAAAAACGTATGAAAAAATAAAGATTTCGTACACTTTGTTGTCAATTAATGCAATGTTTCAAGTATTGTACTGAGGCTCCTAGTGCGTAGTTCTTGAGCACATTACTTATTTTTTATTATAACAATTAATTTCTTCCCATTTTTTTTTCAAAGAATTACGAACACAAACGTTATTTACTATTAAAGTAACAAGTGATGGACGTTAGAAATTAACTTATTGAGACATACACGAGGCAGATGTTTACAGAGGGCTTCTGTGGGTCTACGGCACTAAAATTTAACTTCATGAAATTGTAAATCAGATTTTCTTTAACCTAAGATAACGACAGCATCATTCTACGTAAGTTCAAATTCTTTTAGTAATTCTATTAAAAACAAAACTCTGTAAATATTAAAACCTTGCACATAGAGTCAAATTGAGCATAACAATACTATTTATTTACGTTATGTCGGACTAAACAGACGCATCTCTCAGGTTTTCAATTGCTGATAACTAGTGTATGCACTAACCTAGAACAAGCGCTTAAAGACTCTAGTAGTTAAAGTGCAGTAAAACACGAGAGACAGTGTGGATAAATAACACAGTATACCTTCAGTACACATGGAGGCAGCATGGCCGATGTTATGGGACAAATCTTCCGGGTTACTATGCGATATTCATACCTAACTTAACCAAGGCGGAAGGAATATCACAAGAAATCTCATTAATATACTGTACATGAACTTGGTGCCCATGCGTAGTGCTGTCAACCGCCTTTACTTCCCCAAACTAATAGCTAAGACTGACTGTAGGTAGTGTCTTTGTTAAGGTCTTCATTATCGTATAGGGATTATCTTTTATCAACATATTTATTAATGTTCGTTCAATTTGCAAGTGTATTTATGGTAGAGACGTACAGTATCGCTATTCCTTTACTAAATTATTAAAATAGAAGTTACCTTAAATATGAATATAAGAGACAGTTAATATTAAGAATAATTAAGATATCTAGGCAAATTATTATTATAAAACAAAACTACTCAGGTTGTAACTCACAAGAAACCACCATGTCGTCATCATCGGCGTGCACACTGGCGAACACTAACGCCAGCAGCAGCAATCCCGTCGTCCTCATGGTCCCCGTCTGTGAATGAGGTAAGAAGAGTGATTAGCGTGAAGCAAGGATGATGTAGATGAAGCAAGGATGATGTAGATGAAGCAAGGATGATGTAGATGAAGCAAGGATGATGATGTAGATGGAGTAAGGATGTTTAAGTAACGATAAGGATGATAGACGAGGGAGAGGAATAGATGATGTAGATGAAGCAAGGATGATTGAGGAAAAAGATGATGTGAGGCAAATGTATGAAGTTAGGTTTGATTGAATTACTTAAAGATTAGGTTAGAAATATTTTTGGTTAGTGCCAGTTTAAGTTAGGCTACATAGTATCAAGTTAGGTTAGATTAGGTAATGTTATGGTTACAATATTCGGTTAGGTTTTGGTATTATTAGGTAAGGTTAAATTATATATAGTCAAGTTAGTTTAAGCTTGATAGGGTTAAGTTAGGCTTATGTTAGATAAGTGAGTTACCCTAGGTAGGTACTGATTATTAGATTACTATAAAATCCACCCTAGAGCTCGTTTCCGTCACTTCAATGAGTCATAAACACATCGATAACAACGAGGCAGCGGTGGCCTTGTGGGTAACCGACTCAACTGATATCGTATGAAAAACAAAGATACTGAACATGATAACAGTTGAACAAAGGCTTACCAGTAAACACACATACTTCAGTGATGACTAATACTATAGTTCTCAGATGCAAGTCCTTCATAACAGATTTTTAATTAGTAATATTTTATGAATCATAGTTCTCAGGTGCAATTTTTTGTTCGGGAGCATTTGTCCATGAACCAAGATTATAAATTTATTGCTATATGTCTGTATGTCTTTCAGGTCATGATTGAACGTAATGGTGTGTGTAAGTTAGGAATATGTTTTTCTTTCAAGAGGCTGATTGAATGAACGGATTTAACAATGAATATAAATTACTGCTATTGAGAATGCTTGTATTCCTGTCATGAATTATTGATAATTAACGAATATGTCACTCTGGCGGCCGGCGTGTCTGATATGACTTTTAGGAGCAGTGATTGACATGGCCCCTGTAACTCTCCCGACCCGTTGGCGCCTCTTTCCCCTGGGACTAGACACATGAGTCAGTGTTTCGGGACATATCAGGTCAGGTCATACTAGGGTGTTAGTCTGTAGAAATTTAGGGCATGTCAGGGCAGTTCATGTTATTTTTAGGGGACTCTAGTATCAGTCAATGTCAATATTGGAGGCTCTACCAAGAAACTACTAATGACTTGGGGTGTACATGGGGTGGTCGTTATCAGTGAACTTCTTAATGCATTAGTCCTTATCTAACAGTAAGTATATTTGTTCAGTGATTACACCAGAGCACTGAGGTAATGTTGCCATCAAAGTGATCTGCATTACTTTACGAGGTGAATAATAACACGAACTCCTACATGGATAAAAATGTTTCTAAAACGATTCACCTGAAGACTCAACTCCCCCAACCTAACTCCTACAGGTAGCGTTTAGTAGCTGGGGTGTATAATCTCCAGGTAATCCCTTAAAATTTTGGATTAAACTAATATAATTTATGTGTGGAGCGATTATTGATTTTAATGTTGAATTCGATTAATTTTTCATTTATGTGTTCAATTAAATTATTATACGGGTCATTTTACATGCGTGTTAAATAGTGTAAACTTTGTATATTGATAACACAACTCCTTCTCCTAATCTCACACGATAACGGTTATCAGGACCCGGTGACCCGTCGCTCACGTATACAGCTGAAACACGGAGCCCGGATTCCCAAGGTGTTTTACCTGTAATTTATCCCCGTGTATCTACAGCCAGGAAGACGTATTTATGAGGTATATCTGTTCTTCCACCCAGGCAGGACTACTGTATAATGCTGTAGTCCCACCCCGGCAGGTCTATAATGCTGTAGTCCCACCCCGGCAGGTCTATAATGCTGTAGTCCCACCCCGGCAGGTCTATAATGCCGTAGTCCCACCCCAGCAGGTCTATAATGTAGTCCCACCCCGGCAGGTCTATAATGCTGTAGTCCCACCCGGGCAGGTCTATAATGCTGTAGTCCCACCCCAGCAGGTCTATAATGCTGTAGTCCCACCCGTCTATAATGCTGTAGTCCCACCCGGGCAGGTCTATAATGCTGTAGTCCCACCCGGCAGGTCTATAATGCTGTAGTCCCACCCGGCAGGTCTATAATGCTGTAGTCCCACCCCGGCAGGATCTATAATGCTGTAGTCCCACCCGGCAGGTCTATAATGCTGTAGTCCCACCCCGGCAGGTCTATAATGCTGTAGTCCCAGGCTGTAGGCAGGTCTATAATGCTGTAGTCCCACCCAGCAGGTCTATAATGCTGTAGTCAGGTGCCCTCCCACCCCGGCAGGTCTATAATGCTGTAGTCCCACCCAGCAGGTCTATAATGCTAGTCCCACCCCGGCAGGTCTGCTAGTCCCACCCGGCAATGCTGTAGTCCCATCCCAGCAGGTCTATAATGCTGTAGTCCCACCCCGGCAGGTCTATAATGCTGTAGTCCCACCCCAGCAGGTCTATAATGCTGTAGTCCCACCCCGGCAGGTCTATAATGCTGTAGTCCCACCCTGGCAGGTCTATAATGCTGTAGTCTCACCTCGGCAGGTCTATAATGCTGTAGTCCCACCCCAGCAGGTCTATAATGCTGTAGTCCCACCCCGGCAGGTCTATAATGCTGTAGTCCCACCCCGGCAGGTCTATAATGCTGTAGTCCCACCCCGGCAGGTCTATAATGCTGTAGTCCCACCCTGGCAGGTCTATAATGCTGTAGTCCCACCCCAGCAGGTCTATAATGCTGTAGTCCCACCCCGGCAGGTCTATAATGCTGTAGTCCCACCCCGGCAGGTCTATAATGCTGTAGTCCCACCCCGGCAGGTCTATAATGCTGTACTAAGACTACTTTAGACTGATAAACAATCTTACTGTTAATGTTTAAGTTTAATTAGCATCATAAAACCGTTTCAATGGAAATATACAGGGTGTCTCAGAAAAATGTAGACACACCGCCTTAAAGTGACATAAGCTGGGGTGTATTCTTCAGGTGAAATAAGCTGGGGGGGTGTATTCTTCAAGTGAAATAAGCTGGGGGTGTATTCTTCAGGTGAAATAAGCTGGGGGTGTATTCTTCAGGTGAAATAAGCTGGGGTATCTATCCTTCAGGTGAAGTAAGCTGGGGTGTAATCTTCAGGTGAAATAAGCTGGGGGTGTATTCTTCAGGTGAAATAAGCTGGTGACCTAGTGTGTCTGATCAAATACAATAATAAAAGTAATAAAAAAAAAAGACAACTCAACTTACTTTTGTTTTGACTCTGGTGTGGTGAGGATAGAGAGCGGCCTCCCTCACAGGTGGCTGTCCGCGTAGTGACTGGTAACTTGGGTCGGCTATCTCTGCTTTATGAGATTTGAATATAATGAGAAATACCTTATCTCTTCCTTCGAACATCATCTTATCACTAAACAACCGACAACTTCATTATTTTCTATTTTAAACATTACTGTGTTTTATATATTATTATTGTTTATTTATTTATTGTTAATGGATTTCGTAGGACATGTTAGGTTTTTGCGATTATTGTCTTATTGTTGAGGATTCATTTTCAAATACGAAGTTAATTAGTGACGAAGAGAGTGAACTGGCATTATTTTTTAGGTATCAGGGAATGACGTAATGTGTTGGCTAAAGGTACTGTCGGAGGCATAGATAACAGAGACCAATCTTCGTCTTGCCACATACCGGATGTTAACTAGTTTTATTGGGATACCTTTCTCCCGGAAATACCTCGTGTGAAAATAGTTGTCACTTCCATAGCTACTTTAGTGTCAGGTTAAGTTAGATCAGTGTTAGGTTATGCTAGGTCAGTGTTAGGTTATGCTAGGATGGTGTTAAGTTGTGCTTGGTTAGTGTCAGGTTAAGCTACGTTAGTGTTAGGTTAAGTTAGATTAGGCTAGGTTAGGTGAGTGTCAGGTTAAACCAGTGTTAGTGTCATGTTAAGCAAGGTTAGTGTTAGGTTAATCTAGGTTAGTGATAGATTATTATTATTATTATTATTATTTTTACGGGCATTTGCCCAGCAGGGCACAGGTCATTTTTAATGTCCCACATCAAGGCCTGGGGGGATATAATATACAGTAATAATAATAATTATGATGATAATAATGATTATAATAATAATATGAATTAAAATATATAAAAATGAAAAACAATTATAATAAAAGAAAATATTAATGATACTAATAAAAAAAAAAATAATAATAATGATGAGCCATAAATAAATAACAAAAATAATAAAAAATATATATAAAAAGTGAGAAACATTATATGTATGTTGTGTTGTCAATAGTAAGAGAAACAATTGAGACCCTGCAATTGTGTAAATGAGGCAGAAATTCAGATCAGTAACCTGGGACTTGGTCACAATTTTCGTGATGCCATATGGCAGCAGGGTCTACCATTAGACAACACATTATGCTTCCAATATCTTCCCAGGCGGTAGTACCTCCCTGTTTGGTAGCTGCCTAGTACCTACAGGTTAGGTTGGTGCTATGTTAAGCAAGCTTAGTGTTAGGTTAAGCTGGTGTTAGTGTTAGGTTGCTATAGTCACTTGAACCAGATGTTTGTTATGATAAGTTTGTCGTAGTTAAAAGTCACCTAACTGAGAAATATCTACACGCATGAGAGGAATAACTGAGAGCTACCGTGAGAGAGATGTACTGTATATCACACACACACACACACACACACACACACACACACTCTTCCCACAACCTGCCTAATGTCACCTTTTGAACACCCTGATGTGCCCCGTAAGTGAATCCGTGTCTCATAATATTCTTCATAATGCCACCATGAAGAAGGAGTTTACAGAATAGGAGAAGGAAATTACTTGGTTAATTTGTGGTGATAAAGGAGGAAGTGACTTATGGCCAGAATAGACGGACATGATAACAAGTGGATGAGTCATTACTGATAGTTGAGCTTGTTCTTCTGCCATGATTCACACACATTCAGTACAGACACACACACACACACACACACACGAATATAAGAATTTAAGAATTTAAGAATGGAGGAAACTGCAGCGGGCCTATTGGTCCATACTGGGCAGTCCCGTTTACACCCAACCCCTATCTCTCATATATCCATCCAACTTATGTTTGAAGCTATCCAGCGTAATCGAGTTAATGATGATATTTGGTAACTTGTTCCACTCATCCACTACTCTATTTCAAAATCCAATGTTTACCTATCTCTCGCCTAAATCTAAATTTGTCTAACTTAAAACCATTGTTACGAGTTCGCTCCTGGTTGGATAG